AAGAATTACCAGTACAGCTGCAGCTAATAAATTCTTTTAATCTTATTCAATTGCACAAACAAGCTTCATATTTTACTTTTGTTCACCTAATTACACTGCTGGAGAAGCATGTATACATCTAAGCCTTGCATGAAGAATTTCTCTTTATGCTGCATTAGAACTACCAATTGAAACTGAAAATGTTCCCAAAAATTGTTTTAAAATATTACATGTATGTCAGCTGAAATTTACACATAATTAGGACTAAGACATGTTTTGATGCTAATCTGGTTTAAATTCTCAGTGAATGTAACTGAGAATTTACAATTCATAGACCCAATGTTTCAATACTCCTGTCTAATGCCTTCAACAAGAGGTCCTTTTATGTTCTCACTAATCAGATGCCCTTTTTCTGACAAGGTGTAAATAGGTGTCAGGTAGTAAGCCGCCATCATCACAATTTACGCAAGAGTTGGTTTCATAACCGTGTGTGGATATTTATTCTCATCTGCATGCCGCCTTTCGTTTCAATCGCCAGTGTTTGTGCATTAGTTGAATTCAATAACGTAATCTAACAGTCTGGTTATTTCGTTTTAAGACCACTCTAGTTCCTTTCTTTCTCTCTTCTTTTCTTTTTCCTTTTTTTTTTTTTTTTTGTCACAGGACTTTTACGGACGGGAAATGAAAATGATCAAGATAGGTGCATAAATGCAGATTTTGCTGGTAAAAATTTCGAGCCTAAGCTCAACAGCAAAAATTATGAACTGTTGCAGGAGATGGATTAAGCTTTTAAAATTATATTTCTCGGTTCTTAGTCATTGTTAGAGAATAAAAAGTCGAGCATTTGCAACAACGCCCGAAAGAACAATTTCTGTCGCACGCCTGACAGTTGACCCGCAAGTTGCAACTATTTGTTATGATTGAAATAATATGACTGCAACGTAACAAAAATTGCGCACGGAGTAATTTGCGCTTCCTTCGTGCTGGCCGAGAAGCTGTTTATAAATATTGCACTTCTACAACGAAAAATGGTTGTCTCTTCCGGCATTGATTTTAACCTAGCTACTGCATAAGTACATCATTCGTTCATTTCGTACTAAATTATATTGAAATTAAATTAAACTTACCGAGATGGTTTACGCTTCTATAGATAAGACTTTAAACGCTTATCGGGCAAACGCGTCGTTGCTAGCTAGCGCTATCAGAAACTTAGAAATTATGGTTCATGGCGCTCCTGGGGTGTAATGAAATCATCAAAGGTGGCAAGGTTCCAAACATAGATTGAAGGCGAACCTTGCAGCGACGTAGTTAGAAATTTGTATTCGCACTTTACAAGATATATTCCCCTATGATAACATTTGAACTAGAAATACTTTTATTAAAACCTTTTTGTTCTTTTATTTTTGAAGTAAACAGCTAAAACACAAAGTCGAAGTAAAATAATATGTGCACCAGCTATAACATATAACTATTCTCTGGGTCTTTTAATACAAACGAATCAACTTTTTGATCGATTTAGAAACACTTCTGTTACTTGATGAGTGCATACTGTCGAATGACAACAACCGTGATCAAAAGAAACAAGAGATAACCACGGAAATGCATAAGCTTCTCAGAAACTTGACCCGAGCAGTCCATCCTTTTCGGCGCACTCCGTCGCGTGATTTAAAAAAAAAAATCAGTCTTAACCCTTTCATTCCCACAAGTGATCAAGACAGAATTTTTACTTACAATATCAATACTATATCAAGCATTTAGATGAAGGGAATAAAGAAAAAATATAAATAATGGGATTATAAGTTGATCCAATACCAAATTCTCTTCACTAACATCATAAGAATTGTATGGTAGACAGTAAGGAGAATTATCAATAGGATCTTGGGAGTGAAAGAGTTAAGCTTCCAGAGTTCCGCGCAACGCGCTAACATCAATATTTTTTTCCACTGACTCTTTTGAGCCGCATGACGGACTTCGCCGAAAAGGAGGGACTACTCGTAATCTACTTACAAACACGCACTGTTGACAGAAAAGTATTTCCGCGGATGGGAGAAGCTAAATCTGCTTCCTCTTAGAACGTTGTGTCAGTAGCAAAGTGTTGGAATCTAATTAATCCCTAACAGTGTTTATTTCTCACTTTTTCTAACTAGGGAGTCACCGAACTGTACAATTTTACCTGTCTAATTAGCCGTGCCTTTTCACTGGACCAGTCAATGGAAACTAGGCCACTAAATTTTAGTGGTATATACGAAAACAGTGGTAAGCGTTGGAGGTGCGCTCTGATTGGCCACTCATACTCCGAATATCCTTTGCTATTCACCTCCGAGCAATGGCCACGGGATTTGCGCCAATAAGTATTGTAATCGTTGCAGGACTAAAAGAGTTAAAATCATCTTTTT